GGAAGGAAGGAAGGAAGGAAGGAAGGAAGGAAGGAAGAAAGAAAGAAAGGAAAGAAAGAAAGAAATGAAGGAAGGAAGGAAGGAAGAAAGAAAGAAAGAAAGAAAGAAAGAAAGAAAGAAAGAAAGAAAGAAAGAAAGAAAGAAAGAAGGAAAGAAAGAAAAGGAAAAGGTGAATGACATTCGATATTGTGCTCTGGCCTCCACATGCACACAAACACATGTACACATGCACCTACACACGTGCACAAAAACATGTGCACATGCACCTACATATATGCACACTTACATGAAGGTTTACTGTGCCACAGTCTCGTTCATCTCATGTTTAATGAACCCACTGATTGAGAGGCCGCTCTAACTGACCTGATTAGTTGAGGTGTGGGTAATCACACTCTGAGATATGTGCAGGACAAAATCCGCCCCATGCCTCCTCTCTCAGATCTCTTCTCCACCATGAAGTGAAGTGTGAGAATAAATCTGTCAACTCCCAGGGCCATGGAGTGATGTAAGACCTGTCCTTTCTCCAAACTTGAAGACAGGAAACTGAGGAACAGGGTATTTAAAGCACTTGCCTCAGCTAGAGCAGGTAGAAGTGGGCATAGGGACAAACCTAAGCCCTTATCTCACGAGTCTGTTGTTACTCAACAACATACCTACACAGATTGTGATACCCAGCAGGGCCCTTTTATCTGTTCAAGAGGGGTTGGCAAAATACAGCTTCCTGGGTCAACTTCCTCCCATTGCTTGATTTCTGTAAATAAAGGTTCACCAGAATAAAACTTCTTTTTATTTTATATTAATTGTTAGCATAATTAATAATACAAAATATTAAATATTTTATATTAATTAAATATTTTATATTACGTGTGTGTGTGTGTGTGTGTGTGTGTGTGTGTGTGTGTGTGTGTGTGTGTAAGCCAGTGCATATGAAAGCCAGAGGTTGGCATCAGGGTCTTTCTCAATTGCTCTCCATTTTCTGTTTTAATTATTTTAAAGACTTATTTTACATTTTTAAATTATGTGTGTAAGCGTGGATCTGTACAGGTGAATCTTGGTGCCCTCAGAGGCTAGAGGCATTAGACTCCTTAGATCTGGAGTGACAGGTGGTTGTGAACCTTATGATGTGGGTGCTGTGAACTGAACTTAGGTCCTCAGCAGGAACAGTAGTTAACCACTGAGCCATCTCTCTGGCCTCTACCTTATTGTTTTGAGTCAGGTTCTCCACTGTCTTGGATCTCACCAAGTATGAACCATTCAGCCACAGGTATCTGTCTATCTTGGCTGCTCCAGCACTGTGATTACAGACAGGCACTACCATGCCAGAATGTTTTACATGGTGTGCTGGCTAGTTTTATGTCAACTTGACACAAGTTAGAGTCACTTGAGAGGAACTAACCTCAGTTGAGAAAATGGACCCAGCAAATAGGCCTATGGGAAAGAATTAGTAATTGATGAGGAAGGAGCCAGCCTAATGTGTGCAGTACCACCCATGGGTAGGTAGTTCTGGGGGTGTATAAGAAAGCAGGTTGAGCAATCACGAGCAGCAAGCCAGTAAGCAGCATTCTTCCACGGCCTCTGTGGCAGCTCCTGCCTCCAGATTTCTGCTCTAACTTCCCTCAGTGGTGGACTGTTCTGTGGAACTGTGATAAAGCTGAAATAAACCCTTGCCTCCCCAAGTTGATTTTGGTCAATGGTGTTTTATCGCAGCAGTAGAAACCCTAACTAGGACTCACAGGTTCTGAGGGACAATCAGATCCTCACACTTACTAGGCAGGTACCTGCTGACTAAGCCATCTCCTCTGCCTCTGCCCCCGTATTTGATTCTCTGGCTCTCTAGCTCTGCAAAGGCAGAGTTGAGAAGTAATTGCAACATTGGCCATATGGCCTGAGAAGCTCAATATACTTAGGATCTCACCCTTTGCTAAATAAATAAATAAATAAATAAATAAATAAATAAACAAATAAATGAATAAATAAAATGTTTCCCAATGCCTACATTAAAGAGTCACCAAGCAGTCTTCTGATTGCAGGTTTCTCAAATACACTACTTAATCATAACATAGAAAATTTTAAATCCTTCCCAAAGCCCCAGGCTCCAAAGCTAAATGCACAAGTTAAGACGTTCAGAAACTGCAACTGTGCAGAAGATGTCTAGGAACTCAGAAATCAGCAGAACTCCACCTGTGCAGAAGGATACCAAAAATGCCACATCAAAGATGCACAGATCTAATCCCAGCCCCTCCCCTGAACTGAAAGCCTTCAAAGCAAAGGGGGAATCAGGAGTACTCAAAGGGCAGAGAGGAGCGACTCAAGTTAAAATCCGGCAAGAGGTGCTGCGCACTTAGGGACCTGGCTTCAGGCTCAAATCCTAGGTCTATCTGCTCCACCCCATCTTATCCCTGGTGAAAGGGGAGGAGTAACACTGCTCATTGCCCAGGGGGTTGGACCACTTAGCTGAGCTCCTAAGCATGAATGTCTAAGCGAGCTGCCAGCCATTTGCTGACTATTCTATAGAACTAGTTGCTGGGAAGCAAAATCTCTTAATCTGTTTATGTATTTGTTGACAGAGTCTCATGAACTTCAGGCTGGCCTCAGACTCACCGTGTGTTGTGTAACCAAACGTTTCCTAGGGAGATTCAACACACACACACATCTACCAACCCTAGACAGGGAACCCATGTCAAACCAGAGTACAGATACCACCGAAGTCCGACTTGGTAAACCAGTGAGTTTTATTGGGCTAGTTGGGAAAAAGCCCAAGCTAAAGCCAAGCTTTCATAATTAATAATAGTTTCCATGTCATTATTTGTGGGATGGCCGTCTCGATGAGAAAGTACTCCTACAGATGGCATCCAGTGTGGAGGCTCACATACCCAAACATAGTGCCTGAGAAAGCTTAGCAAAGTTCTGGAGAAGGAGCTGGATGTGGCTTCCTGGTCCCACAGTCTCTCAGGTAGGCCAGTGCTGGCAGCATACAGAGGCGTGGCTTCCAGCTGTTGCCTGTGGGCATAAAGCTTGGCTCTCACAGACCTGGGTGGGGCAGAGTCAGCCACC